AAGGGAGGAAAGGAGGGAACTCAAGAGAAAAGAATGGAAGGAGGGAAGGAGAGAAGGAGGGAAGGAAGGGGAGTGGGAAAGAAGAAACAAGGTAAGGAAAGAGGGAGGGAGGGTGGGGAGAGGATAACCAACCTTTGATGCCTATAAGGATTTTGATATTATGGGTATGTCTTGAAACACAGTCAAATGTAAAGTGAAACAGTGGATGTTGTATTGTCTTTTACCAGTTATTGGTTGTTGTATTTTTCTTTTACTAATAAAAATACTTTAATTTAAAAAAATGTATGAAAGTTAATGCATGAAAGAGAATGACGTAGAAGGAACAAGTATGCCGAAAAATACACTAAGTTTCAGAAAATGGGCTCAGAAAGGAAATTTGTGCACCTCAAAAGCCTGGTTCGTAATAACTGCGGCCCATTTTATGTGTGAGAAAAATTTCCCACCGATAGAAAAAAAACCTAAAGATGGGAAAATAAGAGACTGAGTCAAATGAAAAGAGACAGATTCATCCATCCTTATTAACAATTGCTTTTGCAACTGCATTCTTTTGGTTCTCGAGAGAAAAAGGATGAGCCACAAATTACAACATTCGGTTTGGTATTGCAAAATATTCCAAGGGGATGATGCGCCAACCCTTCTTTCCTAGGGTGGGTCTGTAGATGATTCTGGCTTTCTTTCTTCCTTGTCTCCAGATACGATATAACAGTGTCATTGTCAGCTTTCCAAGTAATGCACCCATTGAAAGCAGAACCCCGAGGCAGGCAAATTAGATACATCCTATTGGCACAACTGGTGAAAACCGAATCTGAAAGTTCCTGTGGCTTTCACCTAATTAAAAAAATAAAAGTTTCCCCTTCCCCCCACAAGTCACTGGTCATGCTGTCCAATCAAGGGGCTGACTGGTTGCTTGGTTACTTTACTCCTCTTGTGGTCCGCCACCTGTTGGAATGTCCTTGGTTCCCACAGGAAAACATTCTTGTTTTGGCCACAAACCCCACTCTATCTCCCGTTCCTTGCCCCTTCTTCTGCTTTGTGGCAACCCTGAAGCCTCCAAGTTGGCCTCAATCAGGTTGACTTCAGGGTTGACGGCCATTGTGGTACATAAAAAGTTGCTGCAGAAAAAGAAAAGCAAAGGGCTCTTGAAATATCTCAGAAATATTAGAAAGATCTTACAGCACTGAGTGCCAAAAATGAAGGACTTTGCGCACGCATGTGTCTGGGCTGCAATCAGGAGGAGGAGTTGCCCAGGGGGCATGGACGCCCTGAAAAACTTACTTCCGCTTTCCGGCAAGTATTCTGGTTACCACCGCACACACGGCGGTCAGCTGACTGGCGTGCATGCTCACACCGGAAAATGGAAGACCAGTTCTTCTGGTTTCTGGCTTTGCCGCATACAAAAAGGCCAGCTGATTACAAAATCCTTGCACCCCTAACCCTTTAGAAANCCCTAATGAACTGAACTAATTGCCTCCTGCAAACTCCCCTCCCCTTTCGCTCTTCTTTATTCCCTATGGGAGGGGCCATTCACCGTCCACCTGTGGCTTTACTCCCAAGTCAGCTCTTGTTCCTTAGCTGTTCCCTTCCCCTGGTAGCTCTGTGCATGCTCACATTGAGAACAGGCTCCAGCTGTTCTTCTGCCTCACTGATATCTGGCTCCGAAGGCAGCTGATAATTGTCAGATGGCTCTGGCCCCCTCTCTGCTTCTGATGCAGAGTCCTCATCAGAGCCTTCCCCAGACTCCAGGACTGGCCCATGCTCCTCCCCAACCTCCTCACTGTCTGAATCTGCTGCTCTGCTGGCCGCTGGTGGGTCACAACAATGTAGACATTGCAACTCCACTATAATTAGGAACTGGTCTTTTTTAAATATAGTAGATTTTCCCCAGAAAACATTCTTAATACTGTCCTGATTATCACTGCTGAAGTACTTTTGTTCCTCTTGTAGCCCTTTTCCTTAATCATGATTAATTATAATAAATTTGGAAGTGTTCATGCCTAGAAGAGCTGTGTCACTTCTTCTCCAATTAAGTCTGTGTTCTGAGTGACCTTGTTCTCATTTGCTTTAGATCCAATATGTGCAAAAGGATACTCAAGGATAAGAGGAAATCAGTGTGACGGTAGGTATTCTTGCCTTGGAATATGAAATAGAATAACCCATATAGGCAGTGGTGGGATCCTGCCGGTTTAACAACCGGTTCGGTGATTGCGTGCTTCGTGCGCACTCTGCGCGCATGTGCAGTTTTAACAAAACTTACCTTCCATGTTACTTCTGGGGAGTAACACGGCTGAGGCTCAGCAATCGGCTGTGCTGCGTGAATCAGCTGAGAGGATCTAGGTAAGTGAAGTGCAAGGGCAGGAGGATGGGCCAACCTGATTTTCGGAGCGAACCGGTTCACTGCCCAGCTAATCGTCGGTGCTACCAGTTCGCCCAAACCAGTACAAACCAGCTGAATCCCACCGGTGCAAATAGGCAAGGGGAGGGGGGAAAAAGAATTATTTTAAAAAGTATATTAATTATGTCCATAACGGTGTTGAAAATGTTTGCTTTTGGAGCTTCTTTAGAACGGAATTTCACAAATCTCACTATTTCGACACCGAGAGTGTAATGTTTCTAGTGCAAAAAACGACAGTGCAGAATTTTGAGAGTGGACGGTGAAATTTTAAAAAAAAATGTATGAAGGAAGGAGAGAAGGAGAGTAGATAGGAAGGAGGGAAGAAGGGAAGAAAAGGAGGGAACTCAGGAGAAGAGAATGGAAGGAGGAAAGGAGGAAAGGAGGA